TTGAACCATTAACCTTCCATTAGGTAGCCAAGTGCTTTACCCACTGTGCCACCAGGGCTCATTATCATAAGATTTCTATGATAATAATGGTATGACTATTATAGTACTATAGTATAGTCTATAATATAAGATGTCTCGGAAAATGCACAGCCATAATGCCTCTTAGAAGTGTGGATGGCAAGACTTCATCTTGCTTACTTTGGACATGTCTTCAGGAGGGACTGACCCTTGAAGCAGGACATCATGTTTGGTAATGTAGATGGTCATCAGAAAAGAGGAAGACCCTGAACAAAATGGACTGAATGGTGGCTGTCACAATGGGCTCAAACAGCAATGACTATGAGGATGGCAGGAGCTCTGGTAGCATGGTGCCTAAGGCACTTGACTGATAACCAGAAGGCTGGCGGTTCAAACCCACCAGCCACTCCTCGGAAGGAAGGTTGGGCAATCTACTTCCGTAGTGATATCGCCTCAGAAACCCAAGGAGGGGTCGCTATGAGTCAGGGCCGACTCGACGGCACATAACAACAACAACAACAACAACAACATGAGGATGGCAGAGGACCAGGCAGTGTTTCCTTCTTTTATACATAAAGTTGCATTGAGTTGGAACCAACATGATGGCACCTACTACCACCACCACCAATATAGTGTAATACGACAGTAATACTGTAACAATTCCATGATAACTATGAACATAACTCATAGTAGGTACGAGGAATGTCGGTCTTTCTGTGATGACCACCACTGGAGAGAAAAGTCTGAAGGTGTCGATCAGTGCAAGGGCAGAGGTTGTGTCATTTTACTTGTATAATTCCCACAGAAGCACCAAGACAATAAGTCTTCAGGGATCATTTACTGAATAAAACAAACAAGCAAACTTAGATTGGGTCTTCACGTCTCTCCCATCCCAAGGCTCCTCAAACAAGACTGCACAAATCACCTGGGCTTTCTGTTCAATGCAACTGATTTAGGAGAACCAGGTGGGCTGGGGAAGAGGCCCTTCTGCATTTCTAACCAGCTGCCAGGTGATGCTGATTCCTCTGGTGCCCTGAGCAGACTGACTACCAGGGCATTCCATAATGCATTCTACATAGTTGTTTATATTTAACTTGACGTCTCTGTTTTATTGGTAATTGTAACATATAATCAATGTTTTCTTCCTAAGGAGAGTTGACTGGCAGCAACTTAACTCCTGTGTAACAATGATCAGAATAGCATTCACATCTTGTGTATTTGGGTCTTTCTTTTAATTCTGCACCATGGTAGAAAACTTGCTTTCTACCACCACATCAAGTGTGAGATTATAGTGAAACCAAAGACTGTGTTCAAATTTGAGGCTGGTCCACTGACCACCACCCTATGACCAACACATGTGCTATGTTACATGTAAAAGAAGCATGCCAGGGAACACCATCTTCTTTTTCAGTTTTCACCCTATGTGTTGTGCTGCCAGTTGATGGCCCACATGGTATGCTCTCTTGTCCATATATGCCATGTGGCCAGCTAATGGCCTGCAGGGTGTGCTGCCTTGGCCTCCAGGGATGCCTCCTAGTTGCCCTTTCACCCATTTTCTAACATGGCTGTTCCCATCTTGTGTCTGAAGCCATGTCATATTTGGGTTACCATGATTAAAACTTCTCCTTTTCCCAGCACAAGTGTGTTCTAGGGTCACTTTGAGTGAGAACTGCCTTGATAGTAATGGATTTGTTTTTGGTATTTAGTACACTAATAACTAAATAGACCAGAAGACTGCAGCATGCTTCCACCTTGAGATCCCCCCTTGCCTGTCATACATACACCCTCTCCTATCATTCCAGCTTGCTGTTATCTTGTCCCTGGTGCAACCTCCATGTGGTCCTGTGTCAAGCCATTCTGCAGTTTCTTCTCTGAGGCCGGTGAGTACTAAATTCTGCTTGTTTTCTAGTCTTCCTGCATGAGTCTCATTTCCTCGTGCTGACCTGACACACCATCCAAGACACCCATAATCCCCATTTGGTTGAAATTAAGACAACCATGTGGATTCTGCCCACCTGACCCTCTTTTGTCTCCTCGCTCCCTAACAGCCTAATTCCCTCCTCATGAGACTTCACACCTGACCATCCACCACACCCACAGACCCTTTTTGTGTCAAAATGAAGACAGTATGTTAGATATTTCACATGAGCAAAATGAACAAATGAATCCCAATGTGTTGCACTGACCCTACCTGGTTATGTTTGATGTCTTCAGCAGGCGCACCATATGAGTTCCTATACAAAGTTGAAATCCCAGTATTTTGAGCTGAAAGCAAAAGGGAAAAGAAAATATTAGTAACCCAAGCAAGATTCCACATGAGTAGTCACGGTTATCACGGCACATACTTGATCTAACAACGCTTAGTTTCTGGTGGGCCCTGCCAAGTGGAAGAAATTTCCTGGCCCTGAACCCTTCATTTCACATACAGCCATGAAGAAAGAAGAACAGTTACTCCATAAAATCCCCATGGTGCGTCAGCTTTCTGCCATAACGTGTGTGTTGTAGACAGGGTCAGGGCAGGTGCGGCAAACAGATGGTAATCTTACAAGTTTTATTGTCTTCGTGGCTGGTGGAAGCTGGCAGGTAATAAAAGCTTGTCACCTGCACTGAAGCATGTGGGAATCTTTATCAGCAGCTTACATTTTATCTGAAGAAGGACAAGAATAAATTTCTAATTTGAGTTCACAAAAGTGCTTGATCATATTCCAGGCAGTTCATGTCCCAAAAGCCCAAAGGAGGAGCAGGAGGCATCCATTGTTCTCCCCTTGGCGTCTGGAGGCTACAGCTTTGGAATCCTGTTAGGTGCAGAGCTAGGAACCCCATCTTTGTCTTCTGACTGGTCGCTGGTCTGGTGGAAAGGAAGCAGCTTCCAAAGCCTGGAAAGTAGGGCTTTGCTGCCCATTTCCTCACCTGCAATCTTTGACGCTCATATGATAGGGCCTAGAAGCAGGACCCAGAAAACCATTCCTCCCACAGCTGCTAAATGGTCATGGAGTGAAGGAAGCTTTGCCAGTGGGGTGTAAGACATTCCGGAAATAAGAAGGGCTTGTATTTTGTTTTAGTATCTATGGGATCCATCACCAGTCTGTCAATATGTCATATTGTGGTGGCTCACATATTGCTATGGAGCTATGACACTGGTATTGACATCCATGGTGGATAGGTTTCAGCAGAGCATCTAGACTAAGAAAAACCCAGAAAAGACTTGTGATCTATTTCCTAAAATTAGGCAATGAAAACCCTATGATCACAACAGAATATTGTCTGATATAGGAATGGGCATCATTTCATTCTGTTGTATATGGGGTTGCCGTGAGCTGGAACAGCTAATGACGACATCCCTGGGATAATGAAATTGGATGACACTCCATCTATTGTCTCACAGATCCAAAGTCAATATAAATACAAATCCAGTGTAATCTACCAAGGTCCAAGTTCATTCCATTCATGATAAGTACCTGTTTTGGGTTGAATTGCATCCTCCAAAAAGATATACTGAAGTCCTAACACCTGGTACCTATGACAGTGACCTTCCTTGGAAATAGAGTCTTTGAAAATGTTATTATTTAACATGAAGTCAGACTGGAGTAGGATAAATTCTAATCCCATCTGACTGTGTCCTTAAGTAAGAGGAATACAGGCCAAGAAAGACAGAGAGGGACAAGGACCATGGGAAAATGCATCTACACACCAAGGACATCTAGGGTTACAAGAAGCTGGGAGAGGCAAGAAAAGATCTTCTTCTACAGACTTGGGAGAGAATATGGCCTTGTCTGTACCCTGAATTCAGGTTCCTGGCCTTCAGAACTGTGGTACAATATATTTCTGTTCATTTAAGCCACCCAGTTGATGGTATTTTGTTATGGAAACCCTAGGAAAGTCATCTATTACCTAAAAACGCATATATAATAGCTTTGCAATAAAACTACTGTTGGAAAATTTTGCTTAAGAAGTGAGGGCTATGAGCCACTTTTCAAGTTAAAAAAATAAACACACTGACATGCTCTCTGATCTGAAAGCATACCCCTCCTATCTCTTTATTATTGTGAATACTTCTATCTCTTGCCTGCATCACAGACTCCATGATCTCCTGGCTTCCCATCTGCCTAGCCCTGCTCCACAGTCCATGCCATTCCCAATAGCCAATATGATCATTTTTGTATACAAGTTAGATGATATCACTTCCTCTGCTTATAATTCTCCACTGCACTCCCCACTGTGCTTACTGTAAAACCCAGACTCCCCATCATGGTCTATAATGCCCCCATTATCTAGCCCCTGCCTATCTTTCTGCCACATTGTCTACTCTCCTTCCCATTGTTAATGGAGATCTGCTGTGTGGCTCTCTTCACTTCCTGGAGTATTCTAAGTTGTTTCACTTATGGATGCTGTACTTGGTGATCCCTCTCTGTGCGACTCACTTTGCCCAGACTTTGGACTGGATGCTTCCTCATTAGTGTTGAAATTTTAGCTCAAATGTCTCCTCCTTGCTAACATGAGCTAAAGCAATTTCCTTCCACATTCCATCACCACCATCACCACCACCACCCTCTCTGCTCATTACCTTGTTATTGTCATCAGACTCAGTACCATGTGACTTGTTGATGAATATGTTCCGATTTCTCCCTTGGGTCTCACCTGTCTTCACCTACTAGAGTGGAATCTCCATGAGGTCAGGGATGGCTCTATCTTGTCATCACTGTATGTATCCCTAGAGCCTGAACAGTGTCTGGTCTATAGTGGACACTCATAGATTAGCTGCTTTATTTGCTGTATGAATAAATGGATATGTGAGCCTTTAAAAAAAAAAAATCTACCTTCTGAATTGTAAAATGCTGATGAAAATGTTACTTCAAGGACTAGGTGAAGTTTTGCTTTCTTTCTGTTGTTCAGAATAAAATGCATTTTTTGGGGATAGAAAATTTGTACTAGTATAGTCTTGGCCTCCTTTCCTGCCATGTTTGTGGTTTCAGGGCTAATGATGTTTCCAGTTGGAGTTCTTTCCTCCTGCTCTTTAGCTCCATTCACCTGCTTATAGGTGGCAGTGTATAGAGACTGAACCTGTGTCCCTTGCAGACACATGAAGCAGATGCTTTCACAAATGCTCTATCCTGAGAGTACACTCATTGAGAAATTTTTTTTGAGTAATTTTTCCTTGTACAAGTCCTCAAACTCCCAATGTCCAGCTTAATCCACATTTTGAAGATTACTCACTGCTCTCGATTCAGATCTGACTCATAGCAACCCCTCCTTGGGTTTCCGAGGCAGTATCACTACAGATGTAGATTGCCCAACCTTCCTTCTGCAGAGTAGCTGGTGGGTTTGAACCACCAGCCTTCTGGTTAGCAGTCAAATGCCTTAGGCACTATGCCACCGAGCTCCTATTTTGAAGATTAGGACAGCTTTAAAAGGCCTAAGAGACACACTGACAAATTGGAATATGCCATTTGATGAAAAGGCATTCAGGAAGCTCACATGAGAGGGCAAAATCACCCAAGGGGATTTGAAAGTCAGGCAGCATAGCTGTTTGTATCCCCCAGTCCTCCTTGCATGCTTCTGAACATGTCACGCTGCTAAGCAATCATGAAGAAATGAAATAACCGCCCAAATGGGGCATGCCTGGATGAGCAGCTGACTTTGGCTTTTTGAGAATTCCTTAGTAGCAGAGCAACACTTATGGAGAGAAGGCATTTTCTGAGACTCTGTCTAAGCTGGAAAGAGGATCGTTAAGAGGTGGGTTGGGAGAAGCCTGGAATGCAAACCTAGATGAATCTGAATTTCTACGTGCTAAGTAGAGGAGATGATAACCCCGGCAAGGAACCGATTTCACGTTGTGTTTTCACAGTGAAGTTTCTCATGTTTCTGACATAGCAGAGGTGATGTTTCCTTTGGGGGAATGGACGGAGATCCTCTGAGACCTTAGAAACAAGGAAGGTGGCAGTTTTTCAGATTTGCCTTAATATGCTGAATTTTAAGGGCCCCCTGGTTTTATTCTTGAAAGAGAAAAAAGTACTGTTTTTTGATGCAAAGGCCACACAAAATCTAATTTGCAAATAAAATGTGGAAGGGTGAGTGTTTGCCAAAGTGCTGGAAAGCAGAGGTTGGCAACTCATCCTTTCCTTTCCAACATGCAATGCTGGGTCCCCACTTGCTGGGCTGTGGTTTACTCATCCTATTATAGAAGGCAGTGAACATAGCATCAGCCTGTCTACTTCCGTTTACCATCATTACTTCCACCAGCCTCATCACCACCTCCTCCATCTTCACCACCAGAACCGAGTTCACCACTTCTATTACCACCTCCACCATCACCCTCACCACTACTACCAAGACCATCATTCTCACCCTCACCACCACCACCACAATCACTTTTCTCCACTAACATCACCATCATTACCACACTGCTTCCATCATCACTACCACCGTCACCACCACCACCGTCATCACCAACACCAGCACCATCCTAACCACCACCAAAACCACTAATATCATGACCACCTTGACCACCACCAGCCTCACCACCACCACCACTATTACCACCACCATTGCTGTGATAAAACAACTAACATTTGCACAGCACTTATTGGCTAAAAGGAACTTTCTTACATGAACATTTTATTCAGTAGTGATTTCAGTGCTCTTCTGGGTTTGCTACGTGACTGATGCTACAGTTTTGAATTGTGTTTTTATGCGAGTTAGATTAAAGCTGCTTAAGCCTCTAAACAGGTTTGAAAATTACAAATATTTCAATACTGGAGTGTCAAGATCCTTGGCATTTTCTAGGAAGATTACACATCAGAACCATAGTAGGTTTTATTTTTAATTTCATGAGCAGAGCACAGTCTTATACCACTGGAACACACCTACAGTGCAACACACCCACATTTAAAAGCCTTCTGAATAATACTACCAGGCAGGAGAATGGAAGAGAAAAACTAAACTTGATGATAACGCAGTCGGTTTCACAACTCTTGTAATTACATTCTCAATTTGTCATCCCAGACTAATACTGATATGGCTGCACAGGGGATGCTAACTGAAAAATTAATGGGTCAGGTAAACTGGATGTTACCCCTGCTTCGAAGAAACCAGGGCAAATTAGATTCCTCACCAAATGTCTCAACTCTGGGGACTCAGCTTGCAGAGCCCTAACTTCCTTTGTCCATGTTGTCTACCTGCATGAGAATCATGAGCTCCAGGCCACACAGTGTGCTTGGGGCTCCCATTCAGGAGACATTTCAGGGCTTTGGATGAGATGCTCCCAGTAGGTGCTACATTGGAGGCGTGGCCTGATCTGGGGGTGGGGATCGGAAGCGTCTGTTTATTAGGCCTTGCTTTATTCACTTTTGCAGAATTAAACATGGCCTCAGGGGTAAATACATTTACCATCTGAAAAATGTATCTCAGACTTCCTGGGTCTGGAAGACAGCGTCATAAAATCATCCAACTTGTCTATGTGGATTCCCTGTGGGTCTACAGCTCAATGATATCAGAGAAAATGTCCCCCATGCTTTTCAGTTTCTTCTGATAGGAAGGCCTGGCTGTCTCTATAGGGTTGCATCCTTTGCCCCTCTGTATTGCGAATGACCTAATCTGGCCCTGCTCTATGAAAGCCTTATGTCCTCATGGCCTATCATCGGGAAGGATACATTCTCCATGTCTATGTGGCTAAGAGGGGCATGGAATTCCCCGTTAGGGGTCCTATTGGCTCTGGTAAGATTGCTTCCAAACATAACTCCCTGTAGCAATCCTTCAAGGCCAGCTTCTTAGAGGAGGGGCTGAAGGCAGGAGTGGAGTACCAGGAGGGGCTTTCATTGGGAACAGCAGCTTTTGCCTCAAGGAGAGTTGTTCAGAGTATAAGTTGAATTAAGGTAAAAAGAATTAAGGTCACTAGACCAGTGGAAGAGGCACTCTGGTAGCATAGTGCCTAACACACTTGACTGCTAACCAGAAGGCTGGTGGTTCACACCCACCAGCCATTCCTTGGAAGGAAGGTTGGGCAATCTACTTCCATAGTGGTACCACCTCAGAAACCCAAGGAGGGGTTGCTCTGAGTCGGGTGCGACTCGACGGTACATAACAACAACAACAACAACAACAACAGACCAGGTGGGCAGGGCACGCTGGAGGGGCTTGCAGAGAGCCCACTTATGGTCTTCATGAAGGCCCAGCTGATGAGAAAGGAGATTCAATGGGTGTGACTGGGGCAGGGAGGGATGAAGGGCATAGAAGATCAATGCAGCCCAACGGAAATGGTGGTCCTTGGCTCTAATGAAAGTTCTTGGGATCTGCCACAGTAAGGGGTTGGCATGATTGCAAGAGGAAAAATTCTCACCAGGAGTCTTGGTTTCCCTTAAATCCTCTTGCTATGCTTTGTTTTCTTTCACTTCCTTTTCTTTCCCATCTCTTCCCTTCCCTCTTTCCTTCCTAATGGACAAAGCCTGGAGATGCTCTACCCAGCATTGTGGATTCCTTCTACCCTGGACTATACTGATGCTGACGCCTCTCTCCAATTTGATGGAATATTTGGAGCAGGACAAGCAAGGAAGGGTGAGGTAAAGAAAGACTAAGGAGAAAACCCCTGTTGAGAGCATTTTCTCTTTTAGTTTTTCTCACGAGTAAGATGCTCAATTTTTGTACCATTGGCTTAATTGCCTCATTTCCAATTGCTGGGAACCTTCGCCATTATGCTTTCAGGTGATCTACAAGCTGCTAGGTCCGGCTGAGTTGCAAAGGACAGCTTGAAGCCTGCCGTACCAGTCCTTTGCCCCATACAGATCTAGTGGCCAATTCTGGGAGGAAGTGCCTGCTAAGCTCACCTGTCATGGTGTCTTTCCGGGAAGCGTGTTCTCCTTTAGTTCCATGGTAAGTGGCATTGCTGCCAGTGGATTCATAGTCTGTTTTCCGTTCTTTGAGGCTGATCATTTCCCGAGGTGAGGCTGGGGCACTTGCTAAATAAAGAAATTAGAGGCACAATTTCCATTTCTCATTGAATGCCATATCCATCTCCTCACAAACACCATCAAAGTTGCAAACACTCATGTGTTAACCTATATACATGCACTTCTTGGTCTTTTGGTACATTCGGGTCTTGTCCTCACTTCCTTCCCTCACCCAGTGACATAAGAGGGCATGAGACTTGGAGGCAGATAATTAAGGAATATATCCTAGGGCTTATCTTTATAGAGAAATGTTCTGGTGGGAGCAATACATGCCCAAGGTGTATGGAACAGTTTTAAGAATGAGATTGGTCATAGTTTATTTCTTTTTCTTTCTCTTCTCCTTTCCTTTCCCTCATCCTTCCTCCTCTCCCTCCTAGTTTTTCCCCTCCTTCCTCCCTTTCCTCTAATTAAGATATGTTTCATAGGAGGTATTAATGTGTATTTAAGAATCCCTGATTAAAATAAATGCACTTTGACTTAGATATTGTGTCACCCAGAAACTGCCCTAGGGAAGGTGAGGAAGCAACTTCCCATGTGATGATCTGGGGAGTTGAGAGAACCAATTCCACTCCGATCTTACTCATCAGCCTGCTGGGGTAGGCTTGTGACAGGATGTGAAGAGACCTCCTTTTCTCTGGTAGGGCAACCTTGCTTTAGCCCTTCAGAAGAATGTCCCAATGATTTCTCATCACCATCCCACTTCATAGCTACTTGCTGGCCATTGGACCCAGTGCATGAGCTCAGCTATCCTTCTGTGCCCTGCTTCCTGAAATGATGAGCTATAATTTTTAGACTTCCCTAACAATCTGGTACCAGAATAGAAGAAAAGCTCGACTGGAAGAAAAGGAAGCACATGAAAAGAGGTTTAGTCTGAAAAATCAAATGGATTGGGTGGCAACTACACAGCCTTACCAGTGAAGAGATGTGTTGGAAGAAACAGAGCTGAATCTATGATACAGCCATAAATAGGGTGTGTACTGATAACGAGGCCACTAGCTGGGGAGCCTATCATGTCAGCTGTCCTCATACCGACCTTCTTGCTCCTAAATGCCACTCACATTCAGAACTTCATCAACTGTACCCAACTCAACATGTGCTCAGGTACAGAACCCTCTTCCCCAAGCCTTCCCCAGATTCCTTGACCCCACAGCAGTGCTTCCCAGACATGCTGAACCAGAAGACTCATCTGGGAATGTAGACATGCCAGGAATGCACAGAGGCCTGGGCTTTGAGTCAGAATTTTCATGTGTGAGGCCTAGGAATTTATATTTAATCAGTATACCTGGTAATTATGAAGACTAAGAATTGGAAGGAGCCCTGGTGGTGCAGCGGATAAGCGCTCTGCTGCTAACTGAAAGGTAGGCAGCTCAAACCCAGCTGCTCTTTGGGAGATAGATCTGGTGGTGTGCTTCTGTACAGATTACAGCCTAGAAAACCCTCTGGGGCTGTTCTACTCGACAGGGTCTCTTACCAGTTGGAATTGACTCCATGGCACTGTACCCAAAACGACAACCACAGGAATCTTGGGATACTCTGATTTTGGGGACACACTTTCCTTTGCTAGTGTCTGAGCTCCTCCCTGGTCAGGTCTCAGTTCACCGTCCAGCTTATCTTTCACAGCCTCTGCAGGAGTCTACAGCTCCAGGCTCCTAGGCCTGCTTGTTCCCTGAGAGGGATTTGATTCACTTTGTTCCCAGTAAGGCATTTGATTCACTCTGTCAAGCTTAGCATCTCCTAGATGTAAATCTATATGCTAGATACCCAGGAAGGAACCCTGGTGGCACAATAGTCAAGTCCTCAGCTTCTAATCAAGAGGTCTGTGGTCTGAATCCACCAGGGACTCTGACCTTGAGGCAATTCTAGTCATTTCTACTGGTCACTATGAGTTAGAATTGACTCAATGGCACCCAACAACAGACACCCAGGAGACAAGACCTGAATCATGCTGCCATTTCTGAATTTAACTCTCCATCAGGGATGGAAATACCAAAAAAAGAAAAGAAAAGAAAGAAAGAAAACCCACTGTCATCGAATCAGTTTTGACTCATAGAGACCTCCATTGGGTTTCTGAGGTGGTAAATCTTTACGGAAGTAGAATGCCCAGCCTTCTTTCCATGGAGTGGCTGGTGGGTTTGAACCGCCAACCTTCCGGTTAGCAGTTAAATGCCTTGGGCACTACACCACCAGAGCTTCTTTTGGTGGGAATAGATGTGCAAAGAACCCTAGAGGAAGAGGGAGAGGGCAGTAAGTGCTCAGTAAGTCACAGCTGAGCTTGAAAGCAGGGCTTGGAACTTGTTCATTCCAGTTTGAACTCTTGCTGAGAATTTGCATTTCCACTCCAGAAATACTGAATCAGAATGTACATTTTAACAAGATTCTCCAGTTCTCAAAACGATCCAAACAAAATCCAGGCTCACTACTTAGTCCTTGAAGTCTTCTGAGTTTTCCAATCCTGACTGCCCAGGAGAATTAACTGTCTGGAAGACTTTGAAATATAATGACACTTTAGATCCATTCCTAACTTGTTGGGCCCAGATCTCTGGGCATCAACCCATAGGCAGCTAGGGAAAAGAACCACATCAATTCAGATACCTTGTGGCTTTCATCACTGCAGATAAACCTCGAAGCACAATGGTGGGGACCAGTGTCTTAGCTCCCTGCCGCCTAGTGAGCCTTTGCATGTGGAGAAGAGAAGGCCAAAGCTTTGATTTTAGGGATGAGCATCACTGGTCAGCGGCGAGGACAGAAAGTTGTAAGACGTGGTCCATCTCTGTTCTCAATGGAGTAGGTGCAGGGAAGGGAGAGAGTGAGGGGGCTCAGAGGGGATGAGCGGGGCAGCCACTGCAACTAGAATTGGGATTCTAGTGCTTCACAGGGGGCCTTTGCAAGAATAACTGATTCCTTCCCCAGGCCCCAGGCTCCACTGTTACTGGAGGGGGGAGGTCCAGGCCTACCTGCCACCCAGGTCTTATTCACATCTCCTACCTTCTGCCCCCTCCTTTCTCTCCTGCTCACTGTCTTGCTTCTTCCAGGAAACTCCCTTCTTCAATCCTTGCTCTTTTCCTTCTGGGTCTTCTCACATAAAGACTAGCTTTTATGAAGTACTGTCAGACTCTCATGAAAGGACAGTATTTTGGAGTCTCTTGACCAAGGCTTTTCAAATTAGAATCTAATATTGCATGATGATGGTGCTTAGTAAATGACCTCGAGTGGGTCATTATCTCTGGAGACCTCATGGACAGTGGGCTCTGAGTCTCCAGCTCTGGGAAAAATAAATCACCTGAACAAGCTTCCGTTAGGTGGCTTCCTTGTGCCCAGCCTAGGAAACGCCAAGGCAAGGCTCTATCTGAGCCACTAGACGGCAACAGCCCTAACCGCTCCTAATGGAGCATGTTCTCCCCTCCCACTGCCATCTAACCTACTATGTCATTTCATCTTCACCACAAAGATTGGTTTGCTGTAGTTCTTAACAATCAGAGCTTTTAAGGAAACAATCTACTTGTGCTTTACCAACTCAACACTCTTCATCTATTGCAGTTTTTTGTTTGTTTGTTAGTTTGATGTTGTTAGGTGTTGTTGAGTTAGTTCCAACTCACAGGAACCCAAAGTATGTACAACAGAATTCAACTAGAATTACAGAGAGGAGCCTCGGTGGTGCAAGGGGTAAGTGCTTGGCTGTTAACTGAAAGGTTGGTGATTTGAACTCACCTAGCGGCTCTGTGGGAGAAAGACCTGGCAATCCACTCTTGTAAAAATTACGGCCAGGAAAACTGCATAGGACAGTTTGACTCTGTTGTGTAGGGTTGCTATAAGTTGGAATCAATGTGATGGCACCTAACAACAACAGAATTATGGAAATAAATGGAATAAGCTATCTTCTCAATTTTCAGATAGGGGACATTTCCTCAGTCACTCAGGGGACAAGAGTCTAGTGTTGACTTAATGTTCTAAGCAATAAGAACACACTGAAATACAAGCCTTTATGTGGCTGGGAGAGAGTAATTTATTTCTGTCAAGTGCCCCCCATTCATTTCTGATTTTTTTCATCACTCAGACAGTAAAGTCTGGTGTAAAGTTTTATGACAAACCTCAAGGGCAGAAAGGCCACTTTGCTGGGGAACATTCTCTACCATGCTCCCCAAGACTCAGTTTCAGAAAATAGGTTTTCCTCAGCAGGGGGAGGGGAGGGGGGAGAAGGGAGAACGCTTCTAATGAAAGCTCATATAGGTAGGTGTGCAGGGGTGTGTGCATGCACATGCGCGTGTATAATTACCCATCCTTCACTCTCAGAACAAAAATAAAAAAGCAGAACAGATTTCTTAAAAATTGATGCTTTGAGTAAACAACTATAAAACCTATGCCACTTGCATTACCAAATGAGGGCTTCATAGTTTAATTTTCTTCTCTAATCTTTGGCATTACTTAACATGACAAAGAGGCTATAAAAATAAAATATATTTTATAAGTAAGTAAAAGAAGGAAATTCAACATTTAAGCAATAACCCAAAACTAAATCCACTGCCACTGAGTCGATTCTGACTCATAGCAACCTATAGGACACAGGTTTTCTAAGACATAAATCTTTACGGAAGCAGAATGCCTTCTTTCTCCTGTGGAGCATCTGGCAGGCTTGAACCACTGATCTTTTGGTTAGTAGCTAAGTACTTGAACTGCTGCTCTACTAATGCTCCTTTTAAGCAATAGAAATGTGATAAAATTAGATCAAAATTAAAATGCCATAAGAGGGTTGGTTGTAATAAGAATGTATCGACTATATATCTGTTGGTTTACTGCTGTTGTTGAGTGCCACTGAGCCGGTTCCAATGCTCAGTGACCTCGTGAACAATAGAACCAAACATCATCTGGCCCCGTGCCATCCTCTCAGTCATTGCTATGCTTGAGCCCATTGCTGCAGCCATTGTATCAATCCATCTTGTCAAGGGTTTTCCCATTTCTCCTTTGTTTATAGGTCATGGCAAAAAGCTAATCAGATCTGGACAAGCCATGAAATCCTCAGTGTTAGGTTTCGAATGTGTGTCAAACTAAAGGAAGAAACAGCACACCTGCTCTCCACCACTCTGGTGGTGTTGGGTGCCATCGAGTCAATGCCAACTCCTAGTGACCCACATGACAGAGTAGAACTGCCCCATAGTGTTTTCCTGACTGTCATCTTTATGGGAGCTGGTCACCCGGTCTTTCTCCCACGGAGCACTGACGTTCTGGTTCATAGCTGAGCACCTAACAACGGTGCCACCAGAGCTCCTTCCTACTCTTTTACCTGAATGACAATAAATAAAATGCAACTCAAGCAATTTGGAATTGGCAAAACATCCACTGAATGCCTTGATCTGCAAACACGTGGTGGTTTTCTTTATATTTTCACTGAACCCAGATCCAGCTGATGTGGGGACTCCTAAGAACTTGTTAGGGATATGTGGACACTTCTGAGTCTGTGTGGGTTGTTGTTGTTGTGTGCTCTTGAGTCGATTCAAACTCACAGCGACCCACATGAAAGAGCGGAACTGCATCATAGGGTTTTCTAGGCTGTAATCTTTACGGGAGCAGATTGCTAGATCTTCCTCCCAAGGAACCGCTGATAGATTTGAACCTCTGACAATTCTATCAGCAGTTGAGCACTTAACTGTTGGGCCACCAGGACTCCTTGAGACTCTGTACATGTGATACAAAATCACCACTGCAATAACAGGAAAGCAGACTCATTTCATATTTCCAGCCAACGTCTGGCTTGGGACCCCTCTTCTCTGTGGGGTCAGGTAAGGGGCTGGGACTGTGAGCCCGGGCTAGGGGCCTGACCACCCCCACATCCTCTTACCTGAGCGGTTATTGGGAGACACGCGCACCGGGGAGATGGAGGGCGTGCGGGAGGAGGAGTAGGGCCTTTGCCGATCCCGCTCGATGGTGGAAGATGAAGCGACAAAGTGATATTGTGACCATCCATCCTGCAAAAGACAGCACCCCTGGTAAGTGGGGAAGGCAGGCCCATTTTTCACCTCCTGACATTCTGAAGTTGCAAGCATTTGAATTTGCAAAACATTTGGCAGTATGTCAAAAGGGATCACAGAGCCCGGCACCATTGCCAAGGTGAACAGAGGCAGGTGTGGGTTAAGACACACCTCCTGTGCCAAACAGCCTAACAGGGCGGGCAGCTTTTAGTGCAGCTTTTGTTCCCAAATGCTGACTGAATGTTCTCTTTGCAAATTTGCTTTGGCCAGATGCTTTTATTTAAATGAAAAGGTGATGTTTTGAATGCCAGATGACCCTGAAACTGTCTATCCTGTGCCTCACTGGCTCCAGTTCTATCGGCCCCCTTTGCAAACTCCCAGCGCTCTTCCAAAACTGTTGACTCTATTCCTAGGACCAACCTGTGAGCCGGCAGAAAGTGAGCAGCATCCTCCCATACCATTTCTCTTTTTCACATTGCTTCGAACCTCCTTCTCTGCCCCCAAATGCCCATCCCACCCATCTCTGGACCCCTGGAGTGACTGTCGCCAAGTCCTCACACCAACAGGTACGGGCTGTGGTTTGTTCTGAGAATTCTGCATTCCGATTTAGAACACAGAAAGAATGCATCTTACGAATCTCTCACTTATCTTCTGAGATCCAGTACATATATTAAAGGCACATTTACTGTATTTCATTATGAAAACCATACAGATACAGTTGGGAGCATTTTGTGTATTTAGAAAGTACAAAGAAGAAATAAACACGACCACAAACCTCAACCCCCAGAGAGAGCACAATTACCATGCCACCGCATCTCCTCCCAGTCAGTTTTCTTTTTAATTCATTTTATTTCTATCAATGTAGTATGTCAAACAGCACTGATATAATAAAGAAGTGCAGACACCTGCCCCACTCCCAAGTCCTGGTTAATAGAGACAACCATTTTCAGCTCTTTCACCTGTTTGTTTTTCTAATGCTATTGAGACTTTTAAGGGACCCAGTGCTCAAAAAAAGGTTGGAAGCATAAATAGATGGAAGTTATTACATCAAAAACTTCAGTATTTAAATAAGAACACATTAGAATATTTGTATCAGTTTGTTTATCTAATTTTCATCATATATCTGGTTTATTTGATTAGTAGAATAAAATAAAGCCAAAATAGAAGGACACTATTTTAGAATATGTTGCTGTTGTTAGCTGCTATCTTGTTGACCCCTGATTCATGGTGGACCCTATGAACAACACAATCGGACCACTGTGATCCATTCCATTTTCATCTGGCTGAGTTTTGGAAGTAGACTGACAGCCCTTTCTTCCTCCATCTTAGTCTAGAAGCTCTGCTGAAACCAATCAGGTGAGTGGTTGGCTGCGTTTAAAGTGCACTGGTCAGAAATCAAACCTGGGTGTCCTCATCAAAGGCAAGAACTCTGCCACTGAACCACCATTGTCCTCTTAGAAGACATTACCTAGCACTAATTGAGCACTGGCTGTATATAAGATTCTTTCAGCCATCTCAGGAGTTGGATCTTCTCATTGTACACATTTTATAGATAAGAAAATTGAGCCTTCCAAAGTTAACAGGTCGCCTGAAGTCAAACAGTAAGCAAATGAAAAACATAATGTTTGGGGTATATTGGGTTAGAGAAGCCCATCAAACATGAAAGTAGAGGATGCAGAACAAATTCAAATCTATGAATGAGGATCTCAGGGGCAAGGTTAGGGTTAGAGAGAAAATTTTGGAGGTTAGCATATAGGTATTATCCAAAACAGAGCATGGATGGAAATCTTCTAAGTGAATGTGGATAAAGGAGAGCAGAAGGGAGATGACAGAGTCTTGGGACGCTCCAATATCTAGAGGTCACACCGAGAAGGAGTAGCTTCAGAAGACATGAGAAGGAACAAAGTGACCTGGAGGGAAACAGACAAGAGAGAAACGAGGTGCACAAAGAAGAAGAAAGGGGGTATATGAATAAAATAAGGACTGAAAACTGACCACTGGGTTTGGAAACATGGATATCATCAAGATTGGGACAAATGCTCTTTCTGTGGTATGGCAGGTAAAGTGTAACTACAGTGGATCCAAATGATGAGAAATGATGAGGACAGATAGCCCTTAGCAAAGTTGTATTAAATGGGGCAGCAGCTTGGAAAGAGTGAGCGACCAGAAGATACTTTGTTATATGTTACCTGGGAGACACTGCAGCAATTTGTATGCTGATCGATGGTGCAACAGTAACCAAAAAGCAAAACTAGTTGCTGTTGAGTCAGTTCTGACTCATGGAGACCCCATGTGTTTCAGAATAGAACTGAACATAGGGTTTTCAATGGCAGTGACTTTTTTGAAGTAAATTCTCTTGGTAGATTTGAATCACTAACCTTTTAGTAGCTGAACACTTAACTGTTTGGGAGCTCTGGTGGCGTAGTGCCTAAGGCATTTGACTGCTAACCAGAAGGCTGCCAGTTCAAACCCACCAGCCACTCCTCAGAAGGAAGATGAGGCAATCTACTTCCGTAGTGGTACTGCCTCAGAAACCCAAGGAGGGGTCACTATGATCGGGTCTGACTCGACAGCATATAACAACAACAACAACAAACGTGTTGGGAGATTTGATGCGATGTAGAAGAGGAATCACCATCCATCTGTCAGTTTGCTGTACTGTGATGGGTTACATGTTGCTGTGGTGCTGGAAGCCATGGCACCCATATTTCAAATACCAGCAGGATCAACCACGGTGGACAAGTTTCATCGGAGTTTCTAGACTAAGAGAGACTAGGAAGGAGGACCTGGCAAACTACTTGAGAGAAAAATGGCTAGTGAAAATTTTACGAATAGAAGTGGAACACTGTCTGATTTTTACCAATGTCTGTAGTCTGAAATCGATCAAACATTTAATCAAGATACATTAATAATTATTGGTGATTGAAATGTGAAAGTTGGAAACAAAGAAGAAGGATGGGTAGGTGGAAAATATGGCCTTAGTGCCAGAAGATAAGTCCCTCAGGCTGGAAGGTAGTCAAAATACAACTGGAGAAGAGCTGCTTCTTCAAAGTAGAACTGGTCTAAATGACGTGGATCTTCATCTGTGGATGTGGTACTACTCAAAATGAGAAGAAACAGCTTCACACATCCATTAAGAATAGGAATGTGGCATGTATAAAGTATGAATCTAGGAAAATTGGCAGCATCAAAAATGAAATAGAATGCATAAAAATCAAAATCCTAGGCATTAATGAGGTGAATTGGACTGGCATTGGCCATTTTGAATCACACAATCATATATAATCTACTATACTGGGAATGACAAATTGAAGAGGAATGGTGTTGCATTCATTATTCACAAGAACATTTCAGTATCTATCCTGAAGTATAACACTGTCAGTGATAGGACAATAGCCATACACCTTCAAGGAAAACCAATTAATGCAACTATTATTCAAACTTACACACCAACCACTAATGCCAAAGATGAAGAACGTGAAGATTTTTACGAATGTCTGTAGTCTGAAACTGATCAAATATTTAATCAAGATACATTGATAATGACTGGTGATTGAAATGTGAAAGTTGGAAACAAAGAAGAAGGATGGGTAGGTGGAAAATATGACCTTAGTGACAGAAATGATACTGATGATCATTCCACAGCATAAGCAATGACTATACATGTGGACTTCGCCAGATGGAATACACAAAAATCAAATTGATTACATTTGTGGAAAGAGGCAATGGAAAAGCTCAATATCATCAGTCAGAACAAGGTCAGGGTCTCACTGTGAAACAGACCATCAATTGCTCATATACAAGTTCAAGGTGAAGCTGAAAAAAATTAAAACAAGTCTACAAGAGCCAAAGTACAACCTTTAGTGTATTCTATCTGCATTTAAATACCATCTCAAGAAAAAATCTAATTTATTGAACACTAATAACAGATGAGTTGTGGGATGACATCAAGGATATCATCCATGAAGAAAGGAAAAGGTCATTAAAAAGACAGCACACAAAAGACAAAAATGGAAGTCAGAAGAGATTCTGAAACTTGCTGTTGAATGTAGAGTAGCTAAAGTAAATGGAAGAATTAATTAAGTGAAAGAGCTATACAGGAAATTTCAAAGTGTGGCTTGATAAGTATTATGATGAAATGTGGAAAGACCTGGAGTTAGAAAACCAAAAGGGAAGAACATGCTCACACATTTCTCAAGCTGAAAGAACTGAAGAAAAAAGTTAAGCCTTGAGTTGCAACCTGAAGGATTCTATGGGCAAAGTATTGAATGATGCAAAGATGTGACTTGGAGGACTAAAGTTTGCCTAAACTAAGCAATTGAATTTTAATTACCTCATATGTGTATGAAAGTTGGCAATGAATAAGGATGACTTGAAGAAGTGATGCATTTGAATTATGGTGTTGGTGAAGAATATGAAATACACTGTGGATGCCAGGGATATCATTGCTGATGTCAGATGGATCTTGGCTCAAAGCAAATAATACTAGAAAGATGTTTACTTGTGTTTTATTGACTATGCAAAAGCATCAATGTGTGGATCATAACAAATTATGGATAACACTGAGAAGAATGGAAATTCCAGAACACTTCATTGTACTCATGAGGAACCGTACACAGACCAAGAGGCTGTCGTTCAAACAGAACAAGGGGACACTGCATAGTTTAAAATCAAGAAGGGAGTGCAACAGGGTTGAATCCTTTCACCATACTTATTCAATCTGTATGTTGGACAACTTATCCGAGAAGCTGGACTATATGAAGAGGAATGTGGCATCA